ATTTCATTTTCCTTTGGTCTGTTCCCATCTCCCTGGCAGGGTAATCTTCCAAGTGAAGGGGGGGTGGGAGTCCAGGCCCACCCACCCACTCCACAGGAGGGGCAGCTGGCAAGGCTTTCTGCCCCCACCCTAATCCCACTACCTCTCCCCTGGGCCACTTCACCCACCACTTCCTGCTATTATCTTTTACCACAGGGCAGAACTCCTCTCAAAGCTCTACCCCTGCTGTCTGGGAGGAAACCTTTTACAGGGATCAGGAGGCCTTAACTAGCAACAGGTGCTTAATTAATCCCTGTTGCAAGCTGGCTCTTAATTAGGCCTCCATTGTCTGCCCTGATTGCAGGGCTGTGTTTAGGTGAGTCTAATTGGGAAACAAGAAGGCATGAATCACCTTCCAATATAGCCACCTTCTATAAGATATTTGCAGTTCACAGGCTGTGGTCTGCCACACACCATTTTAGGTACTTGTAGAATTGTATCCTGTCCTCCCTCCGTCTTCTCTTTTCCAAACTAAACAAATCAAATTTTTTCCGTTTCCCCTGGTAGTTCATGTTCTCGGGAACTTTAATTATTTTTGTTGCTCTTCTCTGGACTTTCTCCAATTTTTCCACGGCTTTCCTGAAATGTGGTGCCCAGAACTGGACACAAACTCCAACTGAGGCCTAACCAGTGTGGAGTAGAGCAGAAGAATGAGAACTTCTCATGTCTCACTCACAACATAAACTGATTCCTGTTGTGGCAATAATCGGGAATGAGGCTGATGGGCTGACGGTCTCGTAATTGGTTCCTGTCAGCGGTGCCAAGGGATCTGATCTCTCCAACAACAGTGCCCTCAGTGCCAAATATTTCCAGTCACCTGGGAGCCTCCAGTTCCCCTCCCCAAAATGCATACAAAATGTGTCTGAGAGCAGGGAGATCTATGCTCCCCAATAATCAGCAGAGAATCCAGTGACAAAGGCAGTGTCACTGACCAGAATACGGCTGTCTATGGGGCTGAATGATTGGCCTAAGTCACAACGTGTCCATGGAGCAGAGGATCCCTGCCAAGGGCCCAGCAAACAGCAGGAAAAAGGGGACTCACCTGTCACTGCTATAGAGATGGGTGGGCTCCTCTCCGATTCAATCTCTCGCCCAGACTCTGTCTTCCAGAATTCACAGCTGTAGGCTCCAGCTTGCGACCCAGACTCCCTTGACAGCCAAATCGAGTACGTGGAGCTGTACCCAGGTGAGGTGACTTCCTGGGAGTGGATTTTTTGGCCGTCCCTGAAGAACCGGAACCCAGACGGGGCTGGTGCCCCAGCAGCTGAGCAGGTCAGGGTGACAGATTCTCCGGTGATGTAGACAGGCTGTTGTGGGGACACAGTGAGCTGGGGAGGTGGGAAGGGGGCTGGAAAAGACAAGGGAGTAGGGGGGAGAAGATGGTTCCTATTTGAGAGGCTGGAGGCTGACTGCTCTCCAGTTTCTTGGGTTGTTCTTATTTCCCATTTTAGAGATGGGCACTAGATTTGCCCTTTTCCAGTTTTCTGGAATCTCTCCTGTCTTCCATGACTTTTCAAAGGTGAGAGCTGAAGGCTCCGATACCTCCTCTATGAGCTCCTTGAGTATTCTAGGATGCGATTCATCAGGCCCTGGTGACTTGAAGACTTCTAACTTCTCTACGTTATTTTAACTTGTTCTTTTCTTATCTTAACTTCTGAACCTGCCTCCTTTTCTCCATCATGCACTGTTACAGGCATGCAAGCACCACCCTTCACCTTCTTGGTGAAAACAAACCAAAGAATTCGTTAAGCACCTCTGCCATTCCTACGTTTTCTGTTATTGTTTTCCCTCCTCAGTGAGCAATGGGCCTGCCCTGTCCTCAGTCTTTCTCTGACTGCTAATGCATTTGTAGAATGGCTCCTTGTTACCTTATATGTCCCCAACTAGACTGGGCTCATTTTGTGCCTTCACCTTTCTAATCGGCCCTGGCATACAGGGCTGGTTCCTGGTGGCAGGAGTGTCACTTCTGCAAGCTCCACAGCATTCAGTCCAGGGCTGGGTTGTTCCTCATGTAAGTGCCCAGCAATGTGAGCTTCTCCACAGCACTGCTCTCGTAGTGCCAAACTCTACTGGCCGGAGGGGGCCACTGCCTCGTGTTGGGGCACTCCACGCACTCGTGGGTCCCCACTGGCCACTGAAGCAGGAGGTTTAGGGTTGTTTTGTGAAACACTCCTGGCTTTTCAAATGTTACTGCTGCCTGGGAGCCTCAGATCCTAAAGTAGCACCAGCACCCCCCACCCAGAGACCCCAGAAGTGACACAGATAGGCAGGGTGGCCCTGAACAATGCTGAATGGCTTGTCTGTGTCTCATCCCATGCAATCAGATGTACCCAGCTAAGAGACATGCTTGTGTAAACTACACCCCCTGTTCTCCATGTTGCTGTGATGTTGGCACAACCAGGATGCTGTTTGTACAAGAAGGGTCATGTGTATATCTGAAGTTATGCATATAGACTGTACCGCTATTTCACATGCACGTGTGAACCTGGGCAAGATGCTTCCCGTGTCTGCAGCTGGTTGTGAAGAGCCCATTCAGGGTAATGGGCCATCAGGAAAAACAATATGTCCCAGGAGAATTTTTCCTCCCATCAGGTAAGCCTTCCTGGGGACATTTCAGCCTACCTGGGTCCTACTATGATCCTACTAGGGCATGTGACCAGGCCACATGACTTTGGACTCCATGGTGGGTGCCGATGTGTTTCCTCAAACTAGTCTATGAACCAAAGTTGAAGAATGGGATTCCTGTCACAGGGAAAATCAGTCTAAGACACCGAGTGACATAATCAGTTGTTGTTCGCTGCCCCGCAACTCGGTACCTGAGAGGAGCACCGCAGGGAAAAAGACTTGGAAAGCAAGAACAGCTGAGCCTGGAGCAACTGGGAGCTTGTGTCATCAGTCAGGGTGAGAAATTGCTAATTCATACCCAGTCTTCCTAGACTCTTAGGCTTAGTTTGCTGTTTTGTGTTTTTACTAGCTAATGTATTTTGATCCATTTGCTATAACTTATACTCACTGGCATCTACCTGTAGATAATAAAATGGTTCAATGATTTAATTTAAACTCAGTGTTTGCCTCTGAGTGAAATATTTTGCAAAAATCTCAGCCTTGTGTACAAAGGTTGTTGCATAATCCTCCCCACATTAAGGGAGGAGCAAACTGAATACTAAATACTCATGTGTTATGGTTTTGGACAAGGGTAGGAAGTTTTATGATGGGGCTTTGGGGGCAACTTGGTTGCAGACTTTCCGCTGTTTATTTGCACCATGGCTGGTCAAGCTGCATGTAATTGCAACTGGGCATGTGTGACGTAGTGTGGGTACCTTGCTGGTTGCTAGGCTTGGGTTGTGAGTACCTCCACTGGCTGCTGGCTGCGGCACGGCCCAGCAGGACAGGGGATGTGTCATTATGCAAGGGGGCTTCAAACCTGTCTGATGAGTTACCTCCCAGGGATCGGAACAATGGGAAGAAAGGGAGTGGAGTGCTGGCTGGGGGCAGGGCTGGAAGTAAGTTAGTTAGGTTTCTGGCTGGTTTCATGGAGGAAGCAGCCTAGGCAACGGGCTGGGATTTAGGGGCCCAGGCTCCCCTATCTCAAGGGGGGCTGAGGCATCCTAGGCCTGCCCTGTAACCAGATTACATCTATGCTGTGCTGTATCCTGGAGAAGCAATAAACTCCCTTTATGCTACTGGCTGGTGGAGTATGTCCGTGCCATTACGGGGGTGCAGGAGATGGGAAAACCCCAACATGCCATCACACCATGTCCCTGCCTCTGGGAATAATGGAGGGACTGCAAGACTAGGAGCGGTTCTGTAGCATATCACAGCAGTGTGCTTAGAAGGAGACCAGGCTGGGGCATTGGAAGACTCGGTAACACCCCAGGAACAGTAGGAACCCAGGGGAGAACCCTTCACAGGGGACTCACCTGTCACTGTGATAGAGAAGTTTTCACTTTTCAGCGATGGGATCTCTCGATCAGACACTGACTTCCATGACTCACAGCTGTACACTCCGGAATGTGATTTCGACAGCCCTGGGAGCTGAACAGAGCCCATGTAGCTGTCCCGAGGGGAGGGGAGTTCCTTGGAGTGGATTTTCTGGCTGTCCCTGAAGAACCGGATCCCAGATAGGGTGGGCACCCCGACTGCTGAGCACGTCAGGGTCATGCTTTCTCCCGAGATGTAGACCAGCTGCTGAGGGGACATGGTGAGCTGGGGAGTGGGGAGGCGGGCTGGAAAAGACAAATAGGTGGATGTGAGAGATGGTTCATGCAGGATCAGCTCAGCTCACTTGGGTTTGCATAGCTGAGGCCAGAGGTACCATGGAGCTACGCTGGCAGGCACATACCGTGCCCCCGTGCATAAAGGGCGGGTGGTGTCAGTGCAGCCTCAGACTATCCTTGGGGATCATCTCACAGCCCAGCTTGGATTTGTTCCACTGACTCCACTGGGTCTGTGGCTCAGTTGCCAAGGTCTCTCCCTACAGAGTCCTGTGAAGGGTCTGGTGACTCTCACACAGGGTATTGAGCTAATGTTTAGATGCAGCAGGTGGGTCACTCTTGGCAGGCTCTCTGGAAGGGTGCGAGAGGTTGAGAATGTGACGGGGGGAGGTCACAGGAGACCACTTGCAGGGGGACTCTAGGGGTGCTGACATGGCCACTGCCACTCCTCTTCCTGCTCTCTGGGGCTTGTCACTGCTCAGTGTTGCTCTGCAGGTCTCCCCGAGCTGAGATCCCTGCCCCCCTGAGAAGCAGCACAAACACTGACTCTCCTCAGGTCCAAGGAGAGTGCTATTTAGGGCCCGAGCTCCCGGGGATATCGCTCCCAGTGAATTACCTGGGCGAGCCCCCTTTAGCAATCATAGAATCATAGAATAATAGGACTGGAAGGGACCTCGAGAGGTCATCGAGTCCAGCCCCCCGCCCTCAAGGCAGGACCAAGCTCCGTCTACACCATCCCTGACAGATGTCTATCTAACCTGTTCTTAAATATCTCCAGAGAGGGAGATTCCACCACCTCCCTTGGCAATTTATTCCAATATTTGACCACCCTGACAGTTAGGAATTTTTTCCTAATGTCCAATCTAAACCTCCCCTGCTGCACTTTAAGCCCATTACTCCATGTCCTGTCCTCAGAAACCAAGAGGAACAAATTTTCACCTTCCTCCTTGTGACACCCTTTTAGATATTTGAAAACCACTATCATGTCCCCCCTTAATCTTCTTTTTTCCAAACTAAACAAGCCCAGTTCATGAAGCCTGGCTTCATAGGTCATGCTCTCTAGACCTTTAATCATTCTTGTCACTCTTCTCTGTACCCTTTCCAATTTCTCCACATCTTTCTTGAAATGTGGCGCCCAGAACTGGACACAGTACTCCAGCTGAGGCCTAACTAGTGCAGAATAGAGCGGCAGAATGACTTCACGAGTTTTGCTTACAACACACCTGTTGATACAACCTAGAATCATATTTGCTTTTTTGGCAACAGCATCACACTGTTGACTCATATTCAACTTGTGGTCCACTATGACCCCTAGATCCCTTTCCGCCATGCTCCTTCCTAGACAGTCGCTTCCCATCTTGTATGTATGGAACTGATTGTTCCTTCCTAAGTGGAGCACTCTGCATTTCTCCTTATTAAACCTCATCCTGTTTACCTCCGACCATTTCTCTAACTTGCTAAGGTCATTTTGAATTATGTCCCTATCCTCCAAAGAAGTTGCAACCCCACCCAGTTTGGTATCATCTGCAAACTTAATAAGAGTACTCTCTATCCCAATATCTACATCATTGATGAAGATATTGAACAGTACGGGTCCCAAAACAGACCCTTGAGGAACTCCACTTGTTATCCCTTTCCAGCAGGATTTAGAACCGTTAACAACAACTCTCTGACTACGGTTATCCAGCCAATTATGCACCCACCTTATCGTGGCCCTATCTAAGTTATATTTGCCTAGTTTATCAATAAGAATATCATGCGAGACCGTATCAAATGCCTTACTAAAGTCTAGGTATATGACATCCACCGCTTCTCCCTTATCCACAAGGCTCGTTATCTTATCAAAGAAAGCTATCAGATTAGTTTGGCATGACTTGTTCTTCACAAACCCATGCTGGCTATTCCCTATCACTTTATTACCTTCCAAGTGTTTGCATATGATTTCCTTAATTACCTGCTCCATTATCTTCCCTGGGACAGACGTTAAACTGACCGGTCTATAATTTCCTGGGTTGTTCTTATTCCCCTTTTTATAGATGGGCACAATATTTGCCCTTTTCCAGTCTTCTGGAATCTCCCCTGTCTGCCATGATTTTTCAAAGATCATAGCTAAAGGCTCAGATACCTCCTCTATCAGCTCCTTGAGTATCCTGGGATGCATTTCATCAGGACCTGGTGACTTGCTGACATCTATGAAAGGGGGAATGTTCACATTGGTTGCTCCCCCAGGTAATAACTATTTACACTGGGCTTGATAGTGAGTCAAAGTGATTGTATTAAGTACATGTAGTCTGGGAGCCCTGAATTCCAAAGTAGCATCCACACCCCTGCCAAAACTCACCAGAAAATCCAGAGCCCAAGGGGGTAGCGCTGCCCACAAGGGGGTCCCGTCCAGAGCTGAGGGACAGGGCTGTGACTCACCCCATGCATGGAGGAAGGAGAGCCAGTGAGGAGACGGGGGGCTCACCTGTCACTGTTATGGTGACAGGCGGGCTCCTGTCTGATGGGATCTGATGCCCAGACACTGTCTTAAAGAATTCACAGCTGTAGGCTCCCGCCTGCAGTCCAGACACCCCCGACAGCTGCAGAGAGTTGGTGTAACGGTACTGAGGCAAGAGGAGCTTCTTGGAGTGGATCTTCTGGCCATCCCTGAAGAGCTGGATCCGAGACACGGTGGGCGCCCCAGCAGCCGAGCATGTCAGGGTCACATCTTCTCCCACGATGTAGATGGGCTGCTGGGGGGACACGGTGAGCTGGGGAGTTGGGAGAGGGACTGGAAAAGACAAGGGGTCAGGGGAGGGGATGGTTCCTACTTGGGTGGCTGGTGTCACAGAGGCAGAGGAGGATCCAGGGAAGGCAGAGCAGGGAGGGATCCTGGGTACAGACCCCAGCCAGCCCCAGCTCCGTGCCCAGGAACCACGTCCCCACTGGGACATGCAAACACTGAGCAACAGCGATCTCCCTGCCAGGAACCCAGTGGAACCAGCCTCCCTAGCTTGGAATCTGAGGGACTCCTGCCCAGATCCAGCTCAGCCTGCATGAACTAGGATGGGGGGGCTTGTGCAGCTGCAGCCGGGGGCGTCAGGGAGCTGCCCCCAGCAGGCACAGACCTGGCTGCCCTACATGAAGGGGCGGTGATAGCAATGTGCCTCACAGGCCTGGGTGCCCTGGGAGAGCATCACACACCCCGGCTGGGACCCGTCCCACGGGCTCTGCTGGAGCTCCGGCTCCTTTACATTGGTCTAGCTGTAAATAGAGACTCCTTAGAGTTTCTGTCTGATCCTCATTTCTTCAGGATCTCACAGATTCATGGCAAAGACTCTGAATCCAGCCCCTAGGTCCTGCCTGGCCTTTGAGTTGCTTTAAATGGCACTTTTCTGCTGAGCAGCTGCAGGTTTCGCACAGGTGACGGGTCACATGGCCAGTTTCCAGGCTCCAGCCCTTGACCCTATCACTGGCACTGAGATGGGGACCATGGGCAGCAGAATCCCACCAGTTTGTGACTCCATAGGGAGCCCAGCATGTCAGGAAACAGGCTGTAAACTAAGGGATGGTCAGAGCCTGGGGTGGTCAGAGCTCAAGGAGAGGAAGGGGTTCCTGGAGGGTCTGGAAAGAGGGGATGTCATTAGACACTGAAGGGTCACCCCGGCAGGAATGTTGGGTGCATCTGAGAGGGGCAAATGACACTTTTGTGTCTGAAGTGACGTGTATTAGCTGTGGGTCGGTATAGCACATGGAGTCACACCTGGGTGAGAACTTGGCACGGTGCTTCCAGTTGGTGCAGCTGGTTGTGACGGACCCATTTGGGGTAATGGGGGAACAATATGTCCTGGGAGATCCTGATAAGCCTCCTGTGGACACTTCAACCCCCCTCTCAATAAGTAATGGCTGCTGTGACCCTTCAAGGCCCTGTGACAAGGCCACTAGACTCAGTGATGGGTACCTGTGTTTTCCCACAAACTCTTTGGGAGCCATGGTTGAACCAAATGGTTTCAGTCCCAGGAAAAGGCTCCATAAGACATGGAGTAATGTCATCAGCTGCTCTTCGCTCTCCTCAACTCAGCATCTGGCAGAAGCTCAGAAGGAAAAGGACTTGGAGCAGGGGAGGGGAGCCCAAGTTGCAAGATTTGAGACTCTGCCTGCCTCCTTCTAGCATTAGCCTGGGTGGAAAACAGCTAATTCACACCACCTCTTTCTAGTCCCTTAGGCTTTGTTTGCAGTTGTGCTGATTTGCTGGTTAATCTGTCTGTGTCTGGTTCCTGTCACTAACAATCCCATTGTCCAGTTTCTGGCCAATGAGAGCTCCTATTTGAAAAACAGGAAGCACACAAAGCACCCCCCTTCCAACTCAGCCCCTACAGCCAGTGCAGGGGCAGAGCAGGCAGGCAGGCTGACTGAGAACCCTGCTGGGCTGCTGGCCGGGAATCACCCAGGTAAGTCTCCCAGCCAGAGCCTGCTTCTGGCACTGCAGCCCCTCCCTCCCCTACCTTCTGGCCCCCCCACTCCTGCCCCCCTACCCCACATAACCCAAACCCTCTGCATCCCCACACCTATATCCCATCTCAGATCCTGCACCCCAAACCCCTGCCCCAGATCACAATCCCCACCTGTCCTAGGTCCCAAACCAAACCTCTGCCCCCTCCTGTACCCCAATCTTCTGGCCCAGATCACAACACAAACCCCTGCACCCCAATTCCCTGACCCAGGTTACAACCACCCCCTTCACCCAAACTCCCTCTCAGACCCCACTCTACCTCCTGCATCCCAGTCCCGTACCCCAAGCTTCTTTCTGCACCCAACCTTCAATCCAGACCCCACACCTCCTCCATCAATACCATGGAAGAGTGCAGCCCTTGACCACTTTCCAAAATCTTGGAGTGGCCCCCATGAAAACGAATTGCCCACCCCTGTTGTGGCATGTTCCTCTCCTCATTGAGGGAAGGTCAAACTCAGTAGTAAATTAACATGCGTGATGATCTGGACCAGGGCAGGATGCTTTATGCTGGAGAATTTTGGGGGTTTCTTGGTTGTAGACTTTTGGCTCTTGGTTCATGCTGTGGCTGGTCAGCCTGGAGGATACTGCATCTGGGTGTGTTTCCAACACTAGGATGCAGGACTGGGGCAAGTCCCCAGCATGTCACAGTGACACAGAGTGAGAGGGAGGCCAGGCTGGCAAGCCAAAGGGCGCGGTGGTGCCACTGTAACATAAGAACATAAGAACGGCCGTACTGGGTCAGACCAAAGGTCCATCTAGCCCAGTAGCCTGTCTGCCAACAGTGGCCAGTACCCGGTGACCCAGAAAGGGTGGACTGAAGACAATGACCAAGCGATTCTCCAGCCTCTGACAGAGGCCAAGGACACCATTTTATCCCCTGGCTAATAGCCTTTTATGGACCTAACCTCCATGAAATTATCTAGCTTCTTTTTAAACTCTATTATAGTCCTAGCCTTCACAGCCTCCTCTGGCAAGGAGTTCCACAGGTTGACTACACGCTGTGTGAAGAACTTTCTTTTATTAGTTTTAAACCTGCTACCCATTAATTTCATTTGGTGTCCTCTAGTTCTTCTATTATGGGAACTAATAAATAACTTTTCTTTATCCACCCTCTCCACACCACTCATGCTTTTATATCCCTCTATCATATCCCCCCTCAGTCTCCTCTTTTCTAAACTGAAAAGTCCCAGTCGCTTTAACCTCTCTTCATATGGGACCCGTTCCAAACCCCTAATCATTTTAGTTGCCCTTTTCTGAACCCTTTCCAAGGCCAAAATGTCCCCCATTCCACTTGGACTCCCGGGTCCATCACAGGGGACTCACCTGTCACTGCTATAGAGACGGTTTTGCTCATCGCTGATGGGATTTCCTGGCCAGACATAGTCTTCCATGATTGACAGCTGTATTCTCCATCATGTGATTCAGACACTGCTGACAGCTGATAGGAGCTGGTGTAACTGTCCTGGGGTGAAGGCAGGTCCTGGGATTGGATTTCCCGGCCATTCCTGAAGAACCGGATCCCGGACACAGTGGGTGCCCCGGTCGCTGAGCACGTCAGGTTCACGGCTCCTCCAGCAATGTAAACAGGCCGCTGCGGGGACACGGTGAGCTGGGGAGCAGGAAGGGCGTCTGGAAAACACAAGGGAGTTGGTGAAAGAGATGGTTCACACAGGGCCAACTCCGGTTGCAGGGGCTGAGAGGGGAGGGTTTGTGTGGCTGAGGCTGGGAGTGTCAGGGAGCTGCCCCCAGCAGGCACAGACCAAGACAGGTGATAT